TAAACCGCCAAATAATTTTTCTATAACAATACACGAAGCCCCTTGTAACAGACAGCCAACACATAGGCAGAATTGTATATGCTCAATAATTGAACGCACGAATACATTCAAGTATCTTGGTGTCACGCTTGATGAAAATCTCAACTGGAAACACCATGTAAATACAGTGGCTAAGCGGATCAGAAAACTTATTTTCATATTTAGAAAACTACGAGCGGTTGCTGATTATGTCCTACTAACTAAAACATACAAAGCTCTCTGTGAGTGTTTAATTAACTACTGCATATGTTCTTGGGGTGGAGCTTCCAAAACTTGTATCTTAGAAGCAGAACGTGCCCAACGTGCTCTTTTAAAAGTGATGTTTAGGTTGCCTTTCAAACATCCCACCGACGAACTTTATAACAAACATAATATTTTGAATATTCGTAAAACTTTCATATTTGAATGCGTCAAGGCCCTTCATAAAAATCAAGATAGTAATACAACTACAAATAGTAAGAGAATTCATAGATTTAATTTACCTACTGTTAAAAGTACATTTGCCACAAAACATTTTAAATTCCTTGCACCCTACTTATATAATATTTTAGATAAAAAGTCCAATATAAAAAACCTGAAAGCGTATAATTTAAGAAAAATTATAAAGGAATGGCTGATGGAGTTAGATTATAACACATGTGAAAATTTATTTCAACGTAATAACTAAGTCATCACATCCATATTCACTTATAATTATACACACACACACACACACACTCTCGACACACACACACAAACAAACGCACACACACACACACACACACACAAACAAACGCACACACACACACACTATAATTATTAATTCATAAATTAGTTGTTTTTCTACACAAACAATTATTAAATTTATATATATGGGAAGTCCTTTTCTCCTTAAGTACAGGTCTTCCTAGTTAAGGAGTCAAGGCAACATTGAATTTGAATTTCTTGTGTATAACAATAAAGATTTTTTTCTAAAAAAAAAAAAAAAAAAAAAATTATTAAGTTTTTTTCCGCGCGAACGGAGTCGCGGGCGACTGCTAGTTCCTTTATAATATTTATTGTTTGAAAAGATCTTAGTTAATAAAGTGATATTTAACAGCTTAGTTTTTTTTTAATTTTATTTCGATAAATTTGTAATACGAACACGCATCATAAAATTGGTACTGAGAGGGAGAACAGTATAAAATAACAATCAGACTAGACATAGTAGTTGCCTGATAAAGATACATAGATGGCGCTAGTTTCTTTCTTATATTTTATTGCCTTTTATATTAGAAAAAAAACTAATAAATATCAAGTATTCACTATTAGTTTACATAGGTATATTAAATGTTTTTATTACATCATATAAAAATTTATTTGCGTATCTTTTTCTTTACTTTGATGTTTCAAACATATTCATGACCTACAAAATAAATACGAGAGGCAGCTGAAGTACATGCAAAATAAATTTATCGCTTATACCCGAACCCTCACGGCTTGTTGATATTTGTCAAGAGCCCATACAATCTCACTCCGAACGGAACAGGGAAATGCTTTCTTATTTCCAATATTCGCTTATTGAAAATATTTGAGTGCTGGCTAACTATTATCCCTATATAAGTGGTTTTTGAGCGTCGGTGGCTCAGTAGTCAAGCACTTGACTTGCAATCTGCAGGTCCTGGGTTCGAATCCCGTCATGTACCAATGTGTTTTTCGATTTCCGATTTACATATGTACATTTATCGGACGTTCTTACGGTGAAGGAAAACATCGTGATGCAACCTGCACATATCTGAGAAGAAATTCAAAGATATGTGTGAAGTCAACCAACCCGCACTTGGCTAGCGTGGTAGACTATGGCCTAATCACCCTTAACTTAAGGTAGGCTCCGAGCCCCTCGGTGAGGACGTAGTGAGCTGATGATGATGTGTTCTTCCAGACTATATTCTTCATCTGTGTCAAATTTCATAAAGATCAGTTGAGACATTCCAGGGGTACCTTCAAACAGACATCCAACCAGATGTTTTTTTTCTGTTAAAAATTTGACGCACAATACGAAAGAGTTTTTACTTTTTACTTAAAGATATTATTATGACTCTTTCATGAAATAGAAATAGAGAATCGGCATTTAATTATGTACTTTTGTTTTTTATCTGTATTATTTTCTACTAATCGATATTTTTTACTTTTAAATATTTCTACAACGTTTTGTTATATGCAGCCAGTGATAAACGAAGGCCGAACAAGTTATCAACTCAATTCAAACGCGGAACAGTTCCCGTGGCCGTTAACAGCTTCTATAATAGTTCACTTTGACGACGCCAGGGGGCGCTGCACGGTAACGGGGTTTATTCAATTACACATGACCGAAACATGCGCGTTCATTTTACTATATTAACACGATGTTAATAGCTAAACATCATATACTTATCAATATGCATTTTTGTTTTACCAAAATTGTAGAAAAGGACATGTGAAAATGAACTGTCGAGTATGAGAAAAAAACTGATTTTAAAAATTACTAAATCATGTGCTTATTTCTAAAATCTTTTTAAAAGAGATAATTCATTTCGGGACCATATTATTGTAATGGCCAGTAACAAAATTTTGCTTTTGAAAAAAAGTTGTGTATTTTTACAACACATTTTTATTTTTTGAACCGAAGACGTCATAATAAATTTCAAACAAAAAACGATGTCTTTATTTATACTGCAGTTCAACATATGCAGATGCAGGAATGAAGGACTCTTTGCT